GCCGGGCGGGTCCACACCCTCCACCCTGTGGCTCCCGGGAAGGGCGGGTACAGGAGTGTTTGCCGAATGAGTGGACATTTGTTTACACAGCAGGATTTATAACCCACATCAGACGTCAACTCTGGGAGAAACAGAGCCATCCACCCAGTGCCGGGCAGGTGGCGGGTCTCCCGGCGGGGTGCGGTGGGGCGAGGGTACCCCCTTCTCCCCTGATCATTCCTCCCTGGTGATTCACTGAAGCCAGGTGGGGCCCAGGGCCTGGCTCTTGGGTTCAAGGCCACTGGGTCCACTCCCCTGCTGTCCTGGGCCTCCGTGCCCTGCCCCCGGAGAGTGGGCAGAGCCTGCAGATTCAGCTACCACACCCGAGGGGCTGAGATTCCTGGCACCCTGCGCCTGGTATACAGTAGGTGCTCAATAAACGCGCTCTTGGTGGTTGTGCTGGTTGCTGATATGACAACTTTTTTTTATTTTTTGGAGACGGAGTCTCACTCTGTCGCCAAGCTGGAGCGCAGGGGCGCGATCTCGGCTCACCGCAACCTCCGCCTCCTGGGTTCAGGCAATTCTCCTGCCCCAGCCTCCTGAGTAGCTGGGATTACAGGCACGCGCCACCATGCCCAGCTAATTTTTTGTGGTTTTAATAGAGACGGGGTTTCACCATGTTGACCAGGATGGTCTCGATCTCTTGACCTCGTGATCCACCCGCCTCGGCCTCCCAAAGTGCTGGGATTACAGGCGTGAGGCACCGCGCCCGGCCATGTTGGTGTTTTTAGTAGAGACGGGGTGTTGCCATGTCGGCCAGGCTGGTCTTCGTCTCCTGACCTCCTGATCCGCCTGCCTCGGCCTCCCAGGGTGCTGGGATGACAGGCGTGAGCCCCCGAGGCCGGCCGCTGTCACAGGTACATAGCCCCAGTAACGCGGGGGGCTGAGGCAGGAGAGTCACTGGAACCCCGGAGGTGGAGGTGGCAGTGAGCCGAGACCGCGCCACCGCACTCCGCCGAGGATGCCGGGATCTCACGGCAGGCATTCACAGGACCTCACCCCTGCACGGCCTCACGGCGATAAGGACCTCACCCTTGCACGGCCTCACGGCGGTAAGGACCTCACCCCTGCACGGCCTCAGAGTGGTAAGGACCTCACCCCTGCACGGCCCCTCGGTGGTAAGGACCTCACCCCTGCACGGCCTCA